ATTCACACCGGCGCTAAACCATCAAACAGTGACCATCACTTTTATACGGGTAATTTTTCGTTTAGGGCATTGTTTAGGTGTTGAAACAGGATGCAACCAACTTGCTGATCGCTTGCGATTGTCAAATCATTGAGTTTGTGAGGCTCCCATTTGCCAAGTTTTTTACCTTGTCGATTTAACCCAAATAGACCAATATTGTTTTTAAAATAAAATTAATTTGAAATTAGAGTAGCCAAACAAAAATTATTATGATTTGAAATGGCCAGTACTGCAGAACGGCAATTTCATAAATAAAGACCTATTAATATTATCAAACTCGCTGCTGAAAACTTTCTACACGATTCTAAAGTTGTCGCTATAGGCGAAATACCCTAAAGAATACTACCGCTAAATTTATTCATGTAGTAACACGAGAATCGAAGACCCTCTTTACTGCTATCAGAGGCGATGATATATCTGCATTATATTCTTAATTGAAAGTCGATGTTGGTGTCTATGGGTTACAATATACACTTATCAAGAGATGGACTGTATACTCGTTTTTAGCCCTGACCACATTCTCTAAGTAAAGTATTATATTGGAATAGTGCTTCCTATTCCTTCAAGCTACCCTAGCCTTACTGCTCGTTATGCTTCACGGCCCTTTTCTTTTATAGTAGAGGGGGCAAACGAGCATGCGGCTCACCTGATGGTAAGTGACTACCGCCGCCCATGAACAACCGCAACACCAGGGGAATTGCAGATGCGTTGCCGGCCTTTTAAAAAGGAGTAGGCTCTTTTCTTGAAGGGCCCTAAGTCGTATCAAAAGTAAGTCGCTCTCTCGCAGTTTACTTGCCATCTTCTCGACTTACCGCAGACAACAAGGACCTCACGGCACTTACACCTTCGTCGTCAAAAGGGACTGCAACATGTGCATGTTGCGGTGCTGTCGTCACGAAACAGGCGCCAAAGCACATTCTGGAAGTCTAACTACCGGTATAAGAATATGGAACAAACTCCGTGGTCCGTACGCAGCGTTAGCCGTTCCCCGGGGTGAACACCTCTCACACCTCAATGTTTATTTTTTTAATTCAACATGTTCCTTTATCTTCATCACGCCGTGTAGTGGCTGAGTAACAGAATCCACTACCGAATAATATTCTCCCGTGGAAGTCGTAAGAGCCGACAGAGGAAAATTAAACAGGATATGAGCAACGGATTTTCCCTGATAACTACTCAAATTAATAAATAAGTGCGGTTGCCAAGCTGCTTGCCAAGCGTAGCATCTATATCAGAGAGTCCTAAAGTGGGTTCCGCGGAACCTAAAGATTCCGTAGAAAAGTCACCAGGGTTCCGTGAAATCATTTATTTTGCTTGTTAAATAATTTCGCACTTTGGTACAATTTCAACAATCATTTATCTTTCTGACAATGTGCTTTTTATATCATTTATATGAATATTATGATTGCTAGATACGATTTCATGCGACAAAACGTTGGAATCTTAATTTTCAGGCCCTAGCAGAACATACCTGCGCGCTTAGCGCTTAAGGCATGCAATATTATTTTGAATAGGCGCAAAATATGTGATGAGAAGAGCCCATTACTGTTATGTCGATACCTAGGAAGCAGCAAAAATTATATTATAATATTTCAATTGCACTGTCTATGATGTGTCATTTGATGTTGGGTTCCATAAAATAAAAGGAATTTGATGAGTGTTCCACAAAATAAAAAGTTTGGGAACACCTGATCTATAGCAAATATACCCCCTATGAAGCAATCTATGGGGCAAGCCTATGCTCAGCAGTGGAGTTTTGATTAGCTGTAATGGTATAAATGTATACCTAAAAGAAAAAATGCTAGATAACTCAAGCTTTTTCTAAAGAAATAGGTGAACCGTAATTGTACAAAGCATGTTAGGGTGTTTATGAGCAAATAATACACATTGCTAAGCTATACAGATTTTATCTATGAATAGTAAATTCGTTTCTTTTATAGTAAAACATAATACCGTATATGCCTACATACTTATATTTTAACAATCTATATCATAAACAAAATATTAGGTAAGGAAATTATAATTACAAAAGTCTAACAAAGACGGAATGATCAACAAACATATTTAATAAATCGAATATAATTCAGAAGTAATTAAAAAAAATACTTAATAAGAGAAAAAATGTTTTTTCTTCTACATCTGCCCGTGTAAGTCCACTACTGGACAACGGCCTCTCCTCATGTCAAATAATTTATGAAATACATTGTTAACGTGCTTCAGAAAATACAACATTATTGTCATAACCTAAAACTAGCCTTTTAAACGCTGAATACTTTTTCAAATTAACGCAGTAATTTTTATTTATTGATACCGATACGATACTGGTCTGTTCGATTTAATAATTTTGTTATGTAGGTACATCATTACAGCTGATCTGAATCAAATCATAAGTGATAAACATAGCCACCCGCCCGTCCGTAGTTTGCTACAAAGCACGGTCTTAAGCCTCCTGCATCTATCAACTACCCGCATCGCGCATGTGTCATCATGTTCTTACTCCATCTACAAGGGGCGCCCTATAACTATGTGTTACAATACTAATACAATTGTAATAATTACAAATCTTGTAAGCGAATTATTATTATGCGAAGAGATTAGCTCTTATAGGTTCTCTCCTGTGAACTTGGGCCTTTCCCATTATGGATTTGAGTTTCACAGGTGGATTGCAAATCGCAGTATCAGACGTTTTGCACCTTGACACTGCTTTTCGTCACCGATTTGGGTATTCATGTCAGGTCTGGCATAGACGAGACGGTTACACTGCCTTCTGATCTCTCTGTCGGAAGCCTTTTTGCCATAATCGCCTTTTATGTACACCCACGGAACGAACGGGGATAATGATATATCTTACGCCGCTACCTCACGGCAAGAATTGTTATTTGTATCGTATTATTTCCTTTTGTTGTTCAAGACAATCAAATTATCGAATATTGAACATGGGTGTTAATAATATCAACACTACCGATTATTTGTCAATGTGTAGATATAAAAAAGTATCAAAGTGCTCCTAGTCTTAAAGATACATAAACAACATCAGACAATAATAACTGTATTTTAAATCACACATGATTTAATTCTTATAACCGCTCACCACGTTAATCATGTTGGTTAACTCAATTAGAATTAAATTTTTAGAATTTAGTGGCGTAGCAAGGGGAGCAGCAGGCATAGCCAAGCGGCACGTTTTAGGTGCCGGCATTTTGAGAGTGAAGTTCAGCTCTATCTTTTGCAAGTTGCCAGTAAAAAAATTAAAACACTGAATGTTTTTGTTTATAAAATTACGATTTTCGAACGCTGTAGCATTGCAAGTTCTGAAAGAAGAGAAAGGTACTCAAGTATTTGCCAAAGGTAAGAATAAGTATAAAACCTACCTTTTTTATTATATTCATTATAAATGATATACAAATACTATAAAAGACTTGCCGATTTTATATTTTTAAGAATTTTCGAAACAGGAATTTTTGGCTCTATCGGCCCCGGGCAACAGCTACCTGTGCTACGACACTTTAAATTTGCATATTATATAAAGATAAGACTAAAAAAATCTTACAAAATTTTAAATCTTTCACGTTAGAATTCCGACTGGAGGATATAATCTTAAACCTACAATAAATGCGGACAATTGCATGTTCTTTTAGTTTTACAGTCTTCAATATAAAGAGGTATTTGTGGTTGATAATATTACTATAAATATGCTTTTTGATATTACCACAGCCATATTTTACAACATTGTATAGTTATGAACTAACTCTAGCGTAGGACTATGTAAACAATCAAATATTAAATACCAAACCATTACATTTGTAATAAACAGTTCTCACAAGGGTATAAATACATGTACCATTTGAGCAGACTGTGCCAATACCCTGTAGAACTTTCAATTCAATTGCAAACAGTTATTATAAATTTTAGGGTAGTAACAATGTAACGTTTGGAAAACTCTAAAACTACTCACTACTTCGTTCCGCGTTCAATACGCGAACTTTAGCTGGTAAGCATGCGCTTCCAAACGCTTATTATTATAAACCCTCATACACACGAAAAACATTAGAAGGTACAGAAACTGTAATTAACACAACATCACAGCTAAAGTTATTTTTTAGTCAGGAAGGCAAAAATAGCATATTATTTTCTATTTACAATTAAATAACATAAAAGTATCAAACAAATATGAGGTGCAGGATGTGTTTTATAGATCTACTTTTGCAAGAGTCAAAGTATCAAAAGAATTAAAGTACTTAATACCTTTGCAATAAAATTCTTTTTTGATCAAAACATCCGTAGCTTCCATATTGTGTTAAAGTTTGGCATTAGCCAATAACTAAAAGTTAGCAAAATCACTTTAAGTGCAATAACAACAAAAATAATATACATACAGAATCAGTGCATTCTCACAAGTATACCTTAAAATAAAACAATAAAGCAGTACTTAATATCCTAAATGACTTATGAAACTACTCAGTGGGCCCGTTTATATCGGAAGCAACTATGATGTTCAGTCGCTTGCAGATCGCTACCTTGATTTTCTACAATGGATAACTCTAATAGAAATCTATAAAACGGAATGAAGTCAACGTTAAATTATGTGACAGTCATGTTATTTAGCGTTATGATATTATGCCATTCCATTAATTTGTTCACGTTCTCTATTAGCATCAAAGACAGTAAGATTTTGTAACTCTGATAGGAATCGTCGTTGCAGTTGGCTCCGTTTACACGTTTGGTTTTGGTGTAATGCAAAAATTTATCAGTATCGATTATAAGTCTATGTCTTTTTTAAATTAATATCTCAATTTATCTTACAAAGCATCACTACGAAAAACGTAACACGGTCAAACAGTAATTCTAACCGGTAGCTGGTTCCTACAGAGTTACACAATCGGAATGCCGCTGTAACAAACAAATGAAGTAAGGATTTACATTTGATAAGCAAGCGACTGTATAACTATGATTAAATAACTCTACCACTCGACTAATCGCAATGAAACCGGTGACTTTGGTGACAGCAAGAAATCAAACTGAATATCCAACTCTCCGTCAAATTCAACTCGCCACTGCCGCATTATCTAAACGAAACATAATAAATTATTATTATACAGGAAAAAATACAGGCAAATAAAATCTACTGAACTACCATAAAACTAGAAAAAGAAGGATAAATTCATTCAAGTTTTGTTTCTGTGTGTATTTACGGTCGTCACACAAACATCAGACACTAGTGAGTAGTGACCCTAAAATTTTTACTCGTTTTTTTGGAGTTTCAAAAATCGGGCACATTTCAATAACTTTCAAATGTCATACTTCCATATTAATAGGTGGAAGGACTCCCTTTCCTGCCTAGGGGTCTTATTGGGTAGGTACCACCATCTTACTTATTATTGTCGCACATTGTGCGTGCAATGCATAATTACAGACTATGAGGTATTCCATCGTAATACTCAGAGATACCAACACATCTGTGGCCTTTTGTATGAAGTTGGTTGCAGGTTCGGTTAAATGTAGGAAATCATTAGATAAATAGTCGTTTCATGTGTATTGTCTATGGTCGTTTCATTAATAAAATAAAAATAATAACTAGTAGATGTACAGCTATATTAAGGTTGTAGCACGATATGGACGGCACAACCTGAGAACGACCACGCACTCACACAAAACCAGCGTAAAATAGTAGCTTAATGCTGCTGTGCTTCGTATGGTGAGTGTAGAAGACCGAAGACTAGGCTACAAGTCCACTTGGCTTAGACCCGTGAGCATTTAGGTTCCGGTAGTAATTGATACCAAAATATTGATTGAGACCGGGGACTATTGATATCAAAATATCCTTCACTGTTCCTGGTCACAGTCAAGGATATTTTTGATCGATATTAACATTACGTATGACGAGTACCTCGTGAAAGTCCAAATAGATAAGCGAACAAAATATCTGAACCTGGCTCACGAGATGACCGACATGTGGCGCGGTCTGCCGGTCGAAATTATTCCTGTAGTCGTTTCTGCAAATGGGCTAATCCCAGCCAGCTTCTCGAGTCATCTGAGGTGACTGGGACACCGTGACGGGCTGCTCCGGGCTCAAATGCAGAAAAGGCAGTGCTTCCTCGCTACCGCCCGCATCGTCCGCCGATTTCTTTCCATTTCTTTTTAATAGGATAAGGGTGATAAACGAGCACACAGTTCACCTGATTATAAGTGGTTGCTGTGGACCATAGACATTTACATCTATCTTCGATTAAGAATCAAAATGCAGATGCGTTGTCACCCGTAAGGACTAAAATGGAATGCCTGGTTTCCAGTAAACAGGGTCTCCGGTTCTCTACACTCACCATACGAAACACAGCAGCATTAATCTTTTTTAGCTATTTTACTCTGGTATTCTGTGAGAGCGTGGTTCTTCCCCGGTCGAGCCGATCCATTCGTGCTACAACCATAACATAGGTGGAGCATGTCTCTACCACGTAAAAACCCCTTTAGCCCTAACTATTTTATTTAATTTTTTTTTAATTTTTAAAAATATTCAATTTATATTTTTAACTATATATAACTATATATATGGTAGTCTGTAGTATATATATATATATATATATATATATATATATATATATATATATATATATATATATATATATATATATATATATATAGTTGTAGTTTACATATAAAACTTCACAAGGCTTAAGGATCCAGATCCAGAACAATAATCTATAGGCCATACAAATAATTGTTCCTCGGCCCTTGGCGCTGCAATTCATTGCTAAGCCACTGCGCCACGGAGCCGTCATCGCGGACATCGCAACGGAGTTGCAACAATTCTTAGGTTCTTAATACTATAGTAGTATCCGTATTTGTTTGGATACGTTTATTATATGAGGTTGCTAATTTAATCTTTCGTCGAGGATTGCTTCAAGTTATTTTTTTATTTCGTATCACATGAACACGTATCCACGTTGGTGACAGAAAAACTGTGTGGTGGTTTTGAGATTATCGATTTGTAAAAGCAGAAATATTTTGTTTTTGAACAATTGACTAAAAAGATCCGCACTACGGATTTCAATTTTACATAATTCTTTTATGTACGTTTTAAAAAGCCTTGGTCCAAGAATGCTGCCTTGCGAAACACAGTAGATACATTCGGTTTTACCGCTTAGCTTATCGTCAGCACGTAATATTTGGGTTCCGTTCATAAGGTATTTACAAAACCATGCATATGGCATACCTCTCATACCCAGATTATCAAGATGTCGAGAACTATAGGAATAGACACAGTACCAAACTCTTTTTATAAATCTAAGAAAACACATATGCATTTATCACATTTGTCTACATAAGATGTTATTTGATGTCAGTTGTAAAACATCAACAAATTGATTCGCAGCTAGATATACATTACGCGCTAGATATTTTGTAGTTTTGAATATTGGTGTTACTATCTTAGTGAGTAGACTACCTTATATCACTGGACTACCTTAGCGAGTATGAGATGGAGCTCGAGCTCGACAAAGCGCTTGCCGGGACACATGCGACGGCCACGGCCGAAAGGCGCGACCAGCGCGGCGGCGTGCGGCTCGCGCACGTGCGTCCAGCGCTCGGGCAGATACTCGTGCGCGCGCCAAAAGTTCTCCTCGCGGCGACATGCGGCGCCCGTGTGCGCCAGCACGAACGTCTACAGAAAACATAAATAAAAACGTGTTGTTAACAACATTGAATAAGCTTTTATTTATTTAGGCTTTATATGCGTTCCAAGTGCATACAAGGTGGACTTAATGCCAGTCCACTCCAGACTAAGCAGAGATTTGTTGCGCTAAAACAGAACATTTTACCAGGTTTCATCGCCACTTTCAATTAGGTGGGTATGAAGTCAAATTCAGATTGAAGACACTGACTTGTAATAATTAATAAATAGCATAAAACAGTTAAATATCCGACTAGTTTATTTTAACGACCCTAACAACGTTTCTCAACGACGTTCATTATGTGCAGCCGTTATCATTTGAGTCGTCGGTCAAATCATTTTTGTCTGTGTCTCGCTCACTCGTTAGGCTTATGGAGCACAATAGTGATGTGCTATCGTAATACTAGCGAGTATACAACGATAAATTATAACGTGATTTTTTTATTAAGTAGGAAGAATAGTTCTAACTCACCGTTTAAATCACCGTTTATTTTCTTGAACTTCACGGTAGTAAATCAATTTTCCATTCTGTGCAACTGCGAGTATCGACGATGTGAGAAAAGGAAATACGATTTTATAAAGTTATAACAATAGTGAGGGTTGGACTTTCTATAGGTACTTTGACTTTCTTTACAACCACAACCAATAAGTGATCAGAGTGCGTGTCTCTATGACGCAAATGGGATGAATAAAAGAATAATTTAAAAATTAATAAATAAATTGCTCTTAAACTACTCGTAAATAAGTAGCAAATTTTCGATATTTCTAGATGAAAGAGTTCCCATGAGAGGCCCATGTCCAGCAGTGGATTATTCAGGCTGATGAATAACATGAAGTTAAAGTTGTTAGAACTTAATTCGCTTATTTCCGTGTAATTAAATTGTGTCCCGCTCTCGCCCAGTCTGAAGAAAGAAGAGAACTTCAAACTGGGAGGGACACATCATTTTATTTCATTACACGGAAATAAGCGAATTAAGTTATAACAACTTTAATATAATGGATTTCCGCAAAGTGACGCCTGATTCTATTAATTATATTAATCAGGTGAAGATTATCCTAGAAAGCAATGTTTAACCACTCACCCCAGTTGGTAAGCGATGACCGGCGATCGTCATGGGCGCTTCCAATAACCTCGCGAGGAAGGGTGCGGTTGGGAGCAATCTGAACGCCTCATTGGTGGCAGCGCGTATTGAAGATGCGGCGGCCAACTCTTCGACCCGCAGCTCTCCACAAGATGGCAATTCAGAGCGTATTTTCTGCTGCCAGTCTGGTCGACCACTTAATAAATATAGCAGGAACACCAAGCTGTTTGCCAACTGCCGAAAAACAACATAATATTGTTTACATTATGTTTCTAACTTAACTTAAAAATATGGCTAAAGGATTATCTAATAATACCGAATGACAATCGAAAAAATGGTGAATAGAAAAAATAGGGCGCAATGGGTGAACGGAGTAGAAGCCAATGGCATAGATATTTTTCATTTTGTTCAAATTAAGCATTTTACGGCAGAACCGTGTAGTGGAGGTGTAAGAATATCCACTACCCCATATCATCCCGAGGATGTCGTAAGAGGCGACAATTAAAAAAAATACTGATTGCAACCCGTTTGCCAAGCGTTGTAACTACAGCAAATATCTTCCCTATGAGGCAATGGGGGAGGTATATGTTCAGCATTGGACTTTAATAGGCTGTAACAGTAACAGTAGGTTTAATTTTTAAAAAAACCGCGGTGATTTGTAACGCTATTATCCTTGAACCGCCCCGCTAGGTAAAAACTTTCCTTCAAATTAGTAGTAGGTATTTATTGATAGATCAATTTGATAAAATGTCAATGAAATTACTTTATCAGTTCTTTTTAATTCAAATTAACATAGTAAGTATGTAGAAATAGTCAGTAAATATATTTAAATACGGTAGGGTCCTTACCGTCTCAATGCCAGCGGTGATAAAGTCGATGACAGCGGCCTTCTTGTCGCGCATGTCGAGCTCAGGGTTTGCTAAAATATTGAGGAAGATCTCGCGCATGCCGTCGTCCTGAGCAGCGCCTGCCGTACGCGACATCGCCTCATCCATGAGCTCCGATATTATCCTATCGGGAAATGTCTGGTTTTGATACTAACATTAAAAGAAAATTACAAATAAAAGGCAAAGGGCAAAAGCAGATGTAAGCCAACAAATTTAGCGTAATTAAATACCCTACCTCATATCATGCCGTGGATGTCGTAAAATGCGACCGAGGAAAATGAAACATAAGATGATAGCAGCATCTTCATGATTACAGTTTAAAAAAAATACGGCTGCAACCCGCCTGCTTAGTGATTGTGTTATGAGGCAAGCTATGGGGAAAACCTACGTACAGCAGTGAATTTTTGATAGGATTTAGAATTAATGACATGAAGGTTGAGATGCGGCTGGGTACAAAGGCATTTGTATATTAAATAAATTAGGAAAAAAGTGATATGGGGATAATATATTATACAATCGGGCTTAGCTTTCCATTGACTCTCGTCGAGTTGGGGGTTGATACGTATATTTACATTATAAATGCAAACCTGAAAAAAATATAGATATTTTAGAAATCGATTTTTTGGGAATCGATACATCAGCTTACAATTCGAATCTATTTAAAAAATCGATATTTTTCGGAAAGAATCGACATCCCTACTGACAATAACAATAAAAAAATGGCGTCAGTTTTATTGTAGGATTAGACATAAACAATGCAAGAATAATTGATTTTCAGTAACTTTTTTCTCAAAAATTACGCGCTTCCGCATATTGTAACTATGTGTGTGTGCTTATAATAGTGTAACTTTTCTGTAAAAATACGTATCAACCCCCAACTCGATGGGAGTCAATGGAAAGTCGTACCTTCAATCTGACTATATATACATACATATAAATACTATGTTGGAAGGGTTATATGCGGTGTTGTTTAAACGGTTAACCGTTTAAACAACACCGCATATAAGTGTAAAGACATTAGTGACTTACCAAAACTTCTACTATGTTTTCTCTATGAAAGCATATGGAAATTTAAACAGATCTGTCATACGCATTATAAAATTAAAATTTAGAACTTTATTGAGGTATAGGTATAGCCCGGGCATGAAATATAGTTTCAATATATTTTTCTTCTAGTAATTAAAAGGTCAGAACCTCTGGACCATAAAAGAAATTTAATATTTAACGTGGTTAATGTAATACACATTGCTAGTAAAGTTTAAAAATATGTAATTATGTCTGTACAAAACGTTACTACAAAAAGTGTCCTGGGGGTCTGGTTAGGTACCACCCGATTTATTTCTGCCGCCAAATAACAATACTGCACTGCTGCGTTCCAGTCGGAAGGTTAAAAAGAGCCAGTATAATAACAGGTTGTGAGGCATTTCATCTTAGCCCATGGAGGTGGCAACGTATCCGTAGCCTTCTTTATTTGAAGTTGGAAGTCTGGACCTTTGGTAAGTTGGTCACTTCAGTTTTATAAAAAAATCACGATGATGACGAATGAGGCTCTAATGACTGACTTGTAGCAGAAATAGTACATTTAAAACTGCTTTCACAGACTACTAATTGGAAGCAGTGTCATCTACTAGCTCCAAGATTCCAACTGTTTGTCGCATGATATCGTATATAACAATCATATTGAACATATTATAAATGATATAAAAACACATTGTTAGAAAGATAAATGATTGTTGAACTTATTATTTTATTAATTATAGTATCCCAAGTAGATGGTAGCACCCAGCCATGTTCTTTAACGAGAATTTGTGGAATTTGTTTTTGGTGTTTACATCATATATGATGTAGTGACGAGGGCGATCCTGTACGTGTTCACAAACTGCAGACTTCCCGGAACGTCGTTTTATCAGGGGTTACATTGCTAAGCGTTCGAAGTCCCCGCCTACTGACTTGCCGAGCATGGTGAATGTAAATAAATTTTCAGTGACACATGCCAGCTGAAAAGTTTTTGAAAAGGACGGCGTTCAGCGGTGGACTAAAAGAATTGCTGATGTTATGATGTGTGGTAAACAAATGTGCCTTACGTATGTATTGTTTCCTCGCTTCTTACAAAGGTTTTGTACAAAGAGGTAGGCGCAAACTTCCAGATCGGCGCACCGTAGTATGAGTCCCTTTGGGCCCTGAAGTGAGCTTTCACTGCGGAAGCCAACGCCGCGACTCGCCCGGACATCCAACGCTCCAAAAATCCCAACCTTGTGCCCAGCATCAAACCGCATACAGCTAGAAGGATAATAAATATTCTAAATATAATGTGTTCAGCAACAAATCAATAGATTTAGTTTAGTTTTATATACGTGGTAGAGCCACAGTGCAGCTATGGTTGTAGCAAGAAATGTTTCGGCTTGACTGGGGAAGGACCACGCTTTCATAGATTACCAGAATAAAATAGCAGATTAATGCTGACAGAATACATTAATGCTGCTTTCGTATGGTGAGTGTAGAGAACCAGAGACCCTTTTCATTGGAAACGATGCATTTCATCATAGTCCTAAGGAATAACAACGCATCTGCATTTTGATTCTTAATATAGATGTATGTAATAAAGATGTCTTTGAGTCATAGCATCCACTTACCATCAGGTGGACTGTGTGTTCATTTGTCACTTTTATTCAAAAATAAAATCAATATGTTCGATAGTAATCTTACGTATATTAGCGATACAAATTGGCATCCAAAGTGCGCTCAACCTAAGACTATAAATAGAATTTAAACCTTTGAATGTGACGTGCTTTAGAAGGTTTCGTGGTAGATAAAGTTTTGCTCAAAGCAAGCTATAAAAGGTACTAAAATCTTTTAATGGCTGTGTGGTATAACCTACGGAATGTATGAATTTATATAGCTGCGTTCTTTCGTCAGCATCATAAATTTCAACAAAAGCATATAGAGAACCTTTAAAATATCATCAATTGAAATCCTTATAGTTAGTTAGCTAGAAGCAAGCTTTAGAGCAAGGAAGCGACTGCCGCGCTGCCCTTGACGCATGCGTTTTTTTTTATTTCTCAGGGATGCAGTTTTCCTCTTGATATATGCTTTTAAATATTGCCGAACACGTGATAAATCAGCACTTAAAATTACAATTATATTTTTTTAAATATATTTTTAGGGGCAGACGAGCATTATACCACTGAACTACCGATGCTGTAAAGTGGCTATGTAAGAGAATCCACTTATCTATATTATAATCCCATGGGTACTAGCTGCGGTACGGAAGTCTAGCGCTGAACTAAACGTGGTGGTGGGAACGCGCACGAATCGAATTGCGCGAATGCGACTGGAGAGCCAATCTGCGTGTGCGAACGATATGCACGAGCCAATCAACGCGACTTATGTGCAATAACGGTCACCGCTAGACTTTCGTGCCACTACTTGTATGGTAAGAAGCGACAGACAGAAACTAAAACGAGAAATGAGGAGCAGCGTCTTCCTGATAGCAACTTCAAAAACATTAAGTGTAAAATTAAAAATTTTGTAAGAATATCATCAATGTAGTCGAATAAAAGCTTTTAGAAAAATTTACTTCGCAAATATCCGCGTTACAAAATAAAATTATGTGTCTTACCTAGTATGAAGAGCACCTCCCGCCCCCCGTCACCACTAATCCCATCACCGCTACTCCCAACACCACTACACTAGGCAAGACACACCACTGACGATAATACGACACGTGTTTCGCCTCTACACGAGGCATCCTCAGGTGATATAGACTCTACGGTGGCTAACCGCTAAGTGATACGGGATAGTGCACGCAATTGAGGGAGGGCGGGAGGTGCTCTTCATACTAGGTAAGACACATCATTTTATTTTATAACGCGGATATTTGCGAAGTAATTTTTTCTAAAAGCTTTTATATAATGGATTTCCGCAAAGTAACGCCTGATTCTATTAATTAAATGTAGTCGAAGTCAATTAAATACATTATAAGGGATAACTGAAAAATTACTTGTCACATCTTGATTAAATTTATATGGAACCACATGAGAAGCACCAGCTTTATAATAAATCAAAATCATCAAAATCGATTCACCTAGAAAAAAGTTCTGAGATAACACACTTAAAAAAAATACAGTCAAATTGAGAGCCTCCTCCTTTTTTTGAACTCGGTTAAAAATAATCTGCGGTTGGAAACCCGCCTACTAAGCTTGGCAATTATGGTAAGTATCTCCCCCTTATGAGACAATTTATGGGGTAGGCGTATATTCTGGACCTTTGATAGAGTGTAAAGAAATAATGGATGAAAAAATTAAGTGATCCCTGAAAACTTTTCTTCTCTTCTGGAGGTATTTTACATAAACAAATTGGACGTAGACAAACATCCAGACCCGGTACAATTAATGCACGCCATACAAACACTAACTCGTTTTATGCAGCGTCGCAGCCAAACGCTCAAGCGCGCAATGTGAGGAACGATTTAACCATGTAACATGAGATTGCGAGGTATACGTAACATAAGAGTTAGGATAATTTTAGGCAAAACAACGTCTGCTAATACAAAGGGCAACTCTGAAGAAATGTTTTTCGCTATAGAGTCTCTGACTCTATATAGTTATCAGCTTTTTATTTACAAGGATAAATAATCTTACCTTGTAAATTACAAGCTTTTTTTTTATAGTGGTTTAATGAGGAAATAAACAGTTTTAAAATGTAGCTATTTTAAAATTTTGCACTTGTATTAAGATATTATGTCTTACAGATATTAAGCATCTGATAAGACATGCAATGAAAGTGTTTTGTGGCATTTCTTGGGGGCGGCAGTTGCCTAGTGAAGAGCTATAATGAGGAAGCTGATGATAACGAACCATTTGATGGTGTTTTTACACAAAAAATGTTTCAAATCAATTTTGTGTTAAAAAATATTGATATTGAATTTATTATTTCAAAAACATTACCACACACTAGAAATAACACAGCATCTCCTAAATCGATGACGAACATACAGAGTCGTAAAAAAAATTAGTCGGCCATACAATTAGCAAGTATGAAGAATGGCTGTAATAATGATAATGCAAATACCTTTTTGTGCGGGATTCGAACCAGCGGCCCGAAGTAGTACAGACAAACGTGTAGCTATCGCGATACGGAATGTCAAAACATTAATAATGGTGATCGTGACTTCCTTTTTCACTTAATTTTCATATTTTCAAGAGACATGAGGAATAAAGGTGACCGCGTTATAAAATAGAAAGTTGTGATTTGAATTAAAGAACAAAAAGTAAATTAAAACGTTACTTTGCCGAAATCCATGATATATAAGATTTTAAAATTAATTACTTTAAACCCATGTAGAAACTATTTAGCTAAGACCCGCGCTAATATTATATTCCGTCCGCGCTTATATTCCATCATTGAGTTATATGTACTGCGTACTAGACAAGCCATTCTAAACAAAAAATGTGCACTACTCTATGTCTTCACGCATGCACGGGAGATGTAGAGTCGCGCATACGCAGTTGCGCCACCACAGACTAACTAGTACATTGAAACCACACTAAATGACACACTTTACGGATTGCAGTACAGTTCAGTTGAACATAGAGTATGTTCGAAATGCAAAATCTAGTACGTAGTATATCGATGTATTCCATAATATATTTCTTAAATATCGTCAAGTGTCAAGTTCACGCAGGAACTAACCACAAATATATACAAGAGAACTCTGATTCCTGCCAAAAATAATTCGCGAGGCTATTGAAATTGAAAACACATGCAAATTCCAATAAAGAAGATAGCTGGGTGCTACCAATTGCTTGGAATACCATACCTAATTAAATTAAATCCAAACCTAACCATAACACTACGAGACTTCAAGGTGGTTGATTGGTTGCTACCCTTTCTAATGCTAAATAAAACCGAAATTAATATTTAAAAGCTAAAAATAGCCCGTGGGTTGAATAAGGCATAAGAACGCCAAACTGTTGCTAATGCTAGATCGGACCTAAAATGAATAATTAAAAGCTAAAGCTTACCCGGGTTCACTATGATATTAGAACGTCAAATCACTACACTATCCGTCGATCGACGCACGGATGACGTCCCACAAAAGCACTAGGCGTTTCAAGCACAGGCTGCTTCATAAATGTAAAACGCTGTTATTTTACTTTTACAATTTAAGACACACTCCATAACTAAATTGTACACCTTTGTATATGTCCTTCTACAATTATAAATTTAACGAAAGTGAACATAATTTAATCTTTGTAAGAACAAAAACCAATGCGGCATTGCAACCCAATCCTTTTAAATTTATTCGTCTCGGGAATATCTTCACATATGGTAAAACAGGTTTAAAAATAAATGAATAACAGTATTTTTGGTTTAGGGCTACAGGGCGAAAGTATGCATAAAAATATATTATACATGTGTGCATTAACGTTAAGCGATTTCTTCTAACTTCGATTCATGAAAGAATAGGCTAAAACTTATTGATTTTAATATTATTTATTGACTCTGATTTTACACATCATCACCTCGTATTGCTCTAAAGTTTAAGGACAATTGCTTTGTCTATTCAAGTTCGATCTATTCCCTTTATTGGAGATATCACACATAACGTGTACACATTATTAGCATGATAAGCACCAAATAGAAACTAGGTTTACCATAAAACTGTGATTCAGCTGAACTGTCCGTCTACAACAATATTGTACCTCAAATAAAACTTATCTTCAGTATCATTGTGATTGCCGGTCGTTATTACGCTATCGTTCACGTATCGTATCGTTGATTGTCTATGATTACACCCTATAAAAGTCCACGGCTAGATATAGGCCTAACCCATAGTTTTTTTTTATAGAATAGGGTGACAAACGAGCACACAGTCCACCTGATGGTAAGTGGTTGCTGTGACCTCAATAAAGAATCAAAATGCAGATGCGTCGTCACCCGTGAGGATTAAGATGGAATGCCTCTTTCCAGTAAAATGGGTCTCCGTTTCTCTATACACTCACCATACGAAACACAGCAGTGTCGTGCTGCCATTTTACGCTGGTATTCTGTGAGAACGTGGTCCTTCCCCGGTCGAGCCGACCCATTCGTCCTACAACTATACTACTAATATAGCTGCAGCATGGCTCTACAACGCATTTTATTGCATCATAGGACGGATTTTGTCACAGTTGTCACACTTGGCAAGCGGGCAGAAAGACGCAGCTGCCCATCTCGTTTCCTATTTGTATATTTCCTGTTTTAGTTAATTTTACGACACCCACGGGACGGTTTTATTA